AAAATATCCTAGAACGTAACACTGGCATTAATTGCCGTCTTCGTCTCATAAGTGAGTAACATAGCAAATTTAAACTCAGCAGATCACGTCATATAGATATAGCTTCGTTAATATAAAAATTAGAGCTAATCTACCTATTATGAAACACGACGGTAAGAACATTATCTATGTTTATGTTTATTGATCGGTTTTTTACGATAGTAGGTACAATTTTTTAGCAAGTCTTGCATGTATCATTTAGCATAAATTAAAAATGCTCATAAGTCATAACCCACTTAAAAACTGAACAATCGTAAAAAACCAACACACAAACACAGATAAAATTCTTGCCATCAAGTTTCATAATAGGTCGATTAACTCTAATTTTTACATTAACGAAGCTATACGTGATCTGCTGAGTTTAAATTTGCTACATTACTTACGTACTTGTGAGACGGAGACAACAAATGCCAATTACGTCTTATTAAAACCTAAATCCATCACAGGCCGCAGTAAATATAGTAAAAATATAATAGGATAATAAAATAATATAATGATATAATAGGCTCTTAATATTATAATTAACTATATTGGCCTCGCTGGAGTAGTATGCGTTGTGCATTATTTAAAATATTATATCATATTATTCAATAAATTAAATCGTGTTAACAGTTAATGTTAGTGTTAACGTAATGTTTTTAAATTTGAATAACAATAATAATGATAATAAATAATGATAACGGTGTTTTGATAAATGATAATAAATAATGATGATTCATAAAATGAAAAAAATGTACTTAATATTTTTTTTTTAAATTTTTAGTATTAAGTAAGTAGGTAGGTGCCGATTAAACATCAGCAAATTTGAACATAAATAGTGAGTTTCATTTTAGTGAATTTTTGTTTTATTTTTCAAATTTATAACAGATCATTTCCATCCAAATTACTGTTTGAATTAACCGATTCATGTTAAAAACTTGAATGTCTGATCTTATTTTAGATAATCAGTAAACATCCCTTAATAAACTTAGTTTTATGTTTGAGAGAACAGTATATGCTATTAATAATAGTTATAAATTGTATTGTTCAGTGCATGTAGTTTTTTATTTGCAACAGGATTTTTTTATGCTCTCAAATTCATATTAATGAAACCATTTTTATTTATATTAATATAACTTATATTTGAATTTCACATTACATTTACATAAATTTTATCAATTTGGCTATAATATTATGTAAAACTTTAATGTAAACTCTTTTAGTGTATCTCATGTTTAATTGTACTTTTATCATAATTTATGGATACAAGTTGGTTGAAAATGTTTTGTCCGAATGGTTCATCAATTGATCTATGGGTCAACAAGACATCAGAATGTTTTGTGGAAACCACAGTTGCTGGTACATTGGCTGTGTACATGATACTATTTGGCACAGCTCAATGCTCTATGTACAGAAAATACAGTACGCCTCTATCACAGGCTGCAATTCCCCAATCGAGGTTATACTATGTTCAGATGATCATTACGTTTCTTCTTCCCCTATTGGCTGTGGCTAAGTTTTTTGTTGACATTCACATAATTCAACATGGTGTTGTTTATGGATATCAAGTAAGTACATATTGAGCGATTGAACATGAAACCTGATCTAATTTTATTACATGTTCTAATGTATTATTAATTTTTTAGGCAGTATATATGCTCGTTATGGTTTTTGTATTTCCATTATCGGCAAAACTCATACTTATGGAAAGAAAAAGTCTTTTACCGTCAATGCCAGCCCGTGGACATGGTTTAGTCTTGCTAATTTTCTGGGTATTAGTGTTCCTTGCTGAAAATGTGGCTTTCATTACCATAACAAGAGATGATTGGTGGCCTAAATTAAATAAGTCAGTTAATAAGTTTTTTTTRTTAAATTTTATTAATTTATGATTAATGATTTATTTTCAGTTTAAATGGTCAAATTGAATTTGGTTTATTCGTAGGAAATTATATATTAAGCTTCTTATTATTGATCCTAGGAGTAAAAGCACCTGGAATTATGACTGCAAGAGATTACTTTAGCCTACACAACTCAACAGATTTGTTTTTAGATGTAAGTTTTTAATATTTAATTCAGTGGTGTCATTTGGGAAGGGTGGCAGCGATGCATTTGCCTGTCTTGTCATTAGTTGACTGAGTATGGGCTGGTATCGGGCTATTTTCAGGCTGCAAGCCCACAAACTTGATTCATGGCATTGCTCAATAAAATTTAACCGTTATTCATGGTTATTGCTAATACATAAATAATTATAGGGCATCCGTATATTTATATTTTTAAATTATGTGGAAGAATTTTATAATCCATGGCACGATGAGTTTKTAGGTAGTATATTTAGTTATATTTTCAATATTGGTTGTGGATTTATGATGTGTTATCTATGTGAAGTGTCTATGGCATATAAAAACAAAATATACCCATCATTAATTATTATTATACCTACATCCCTTTCATTTAAATTGCAATACTTTTTTTTTTTTTACTGTTCATAATACTTAGATATATTTTTATTTTTGCTAGTTTTTGTTTATAGACTGTGTTGTTTAAATGTGATTTACAAATGTATCATTCAAGACCTTTTTTGGTTATTGTATTATTACTGCTAATGTTTTATATTTATACAGAAATGATATTGAACGGTTATAATTTTTTAGTCTGATCAAGTGGAAGAAACCTCAACATGGAACAATACAATCCGAAAAATCAAAATGATAGCACCTTTCATATGGCCAAAAAAGAGTGTGGCTTTACAACTAAGAGTAGTTGCTTGTATTATGTTGGTAATTGCTGGAAGAGTAGCCAATGTGTATGTTCCACTTTACAGTGCAAAAATTGGTATTTAATTATTTTTAATCTTTTTATGTTGCTTTAATAATTATTAACAGTATAAACTAATAATTTATGTTATTCTTAGTTGACAGCTTAACTGCTATTCCTCTTGTTTTTCGTTGGGATTTAATTTTTATCTATATTGGTATCAAGTTTTTACAAGGAGGTCTTGGAATGGGTTTCTTGAATAACTTCAGGAGTTACTTATGGATTAGAGTACAACAATATACAAAACGGGAAGTCGAAGTAAGTTTTCATTAGTTCTAAATAAGGTAAAAATGTATTAACTGTACTAATTAAAATATTATAAAATATATATTTAGGTATCACTATTCCGTCATTTACATAACTTAAGTTTGAAATGGCATTTGAGTCGTAAAACTGGTGAAGTTTTAAGAATAATGGACCGTGGAACAGACTCAACCAATAGTTTGTTATCATTTATACTTTTTAGTATTGGACCTACCATAATTGACATCATTGTAGCTGTTATATTTTTCCTATCATATTTCAATTGGATGATGGGAACGGTGGTTTTTATTACAATGGTTTTGTATATMGGTATGAATTATTTTGCATTCAATAATATCATTAATATTTAAATGATACTGTAAAAAAATTACAATTTTTACAATTACAATTACAACTACAAGTTACAATTAAATACATTTTAATTACCACTCTATGCATACTGCTATTAACTATAAGTGTACGATGACAAATTATTAAATGATATATAATATCATCTTAATTTATAAGTAATTTTTGTCGATAAATATTAGTTCAAACAAGATTTAAAAAATGATTGAATAAAAGGTGAATTTATAGAGATTTAATATTGAACATTTACAAATCAACATTGTCTCTATAATATTACAACCATTACATATACCTAAGCTTTTTTTTATGTCCTTGCTTATTTTTTTTCCAAGACAACTTATATCAGATTAATTAAATATACGTATTTTTTTAACTAACCATCTCATCATCATACAAGGTGAACACTAAAATTATCAATTTTCAAAGTTTGGTTATAAAATTAAAGAACAATTGAAAATTAATTATTAATATATTAGAATAAAGTAGATAACATGATAATTATTTAATGAAATTAAGTTGATAATCTGAGCATTTTGTTTGATTATAAAATTATTTTCAGGCATAAAAATAAATTAAAAATCACACTAAAATTAAAGCCATAATTATCATTCCTCCAATACTAAATTAATTTTGTCATATAATATTACCTGGTGGATGTTAAAAGTAATATTTTTATAAGGTTTTCACCAGGACTCCTATGAAATTTTTGATCTCCCTAGATTTTTTAAATATGGTTTATTTATTAATATTTTAATAAGGTTAAAAATGAATAATTTTCAATAATTTCCAAATTTGTTGGAAAAAAGCAAAATAAAGTCAATTTATATTAAAAATTTAACACTCATAAACATATAATCACTGTTTTCATTGATAGTTGTGTAGTTCTAATTTGCTAAATCTCAAATTTATTACTAATTATTCTACACTAAAGCTAAATTGATCCTAATATTTGCATAAATCCTATATAATTTGTTATACTGAACATAGTAACATTTGTATTATGTATTTGGAAATTCATAAATCATTGTTTTTTTTTCATTTTTTGTGGGGGATTTTCAGCTTTGACAATCATCATAACAGAATGGAGAACAAAATTTCAACGTCGAATGAATATAGCAGATAAYAATATGGAAGCTCGTAGTGTTGATTCTATGTTAAATTTTGAAACAGTCAAGTATTATGGTGCTGAAGAATATGAAGTTAAAGCCTATAAAGATGCAATAATAGAATATCAGGTAAAATTAATGGATTTTTTTTTTTAACTCTTAAATTTAATTAATTCAACATATTATATTTATTTTTTTTGTCTAGCAAGAAGAGTTTAAAACACAAGTATCATTAGCTATTCTCAACACTGTTCAAAATTTAATTGTATGTATAGGGTTGTTGGCTGGATCATTGCTCAGTGTTCATTTTGTTGTTGATCTTAAAGAGTTAACAGTAGGTGATTATGTTCTATTCACTGTGTATATCATTCAACTGTATGGGCCACTAAACTATTTTGGAACATTCTATAGGTATTAAACAAATGTGATATTAAGATAACATCTCATCATTCTCATCCACATGTTTTGTCTCAGTACTTCACACATACAATAGATAACTTGAGTTCAGCTAAACCAATTTTGTGTTAACTTAGATATTACAATAAGTTAACATATTATCAAAYTTTAAAGTTAAAAATATTATCTGTTTGTTTGTGTGTTCTTTTTACTATTATATTTTACATATTTTCTTGCTTGCTTTTAAAATTAAAACACTGTAAAGAAATCAAAGTACAAACGCAATTCATTTTTCTTACTTTCAAATTTGATAATAGGTTCATTTGTTGTAATATTTAAGTTAACAAAAAATTGTATTTGGTAATTCAAATTTGCTGTTGTACATTTGTAGAACTGATATTAAACATGTAGGTATGACATTTTCTTAAAGTAAACTAAAATATTTAATTAATATATGAATATTAAATCATTTGAAATAGAGCAATTCAGAAGAACTTTATTGACATGGAAAATATGTTTGATTTAATGAATATAACGCCTGATGTTAGTGATGTTCCTGATGCAAAAGACTTGGTTTTAAAAAATGGACGAGTGGAATTCCGCAATGTAACATTTTCTTATCAACCCGAAAGAGTAGTTTTACAAAATGTTTCATTTGTGGTTGAGCCAGGCAAGACATTGGCGTTGGTTGGTCCATCAGGTAGTGGAAAATCAACTATTGTGAGACTGTTGTTTAGGTTTTTCGATGTRGATTCTGGATCTATCATTATTGATGACCAGAATATACAACTGGTTACACAAAATTCACTTAGAAAAGCTATTGGTGTTGTTCCGCAAGACACTGTTTTGTTCAACAACAGTATTAAGTATGAATAAAAAAAACTCTTAATAAACACAAAAATTTAATTAAAATGATTTATTAGATTTAACATAAGTTACGGAAAAGTTGAATCTAATGATTCAGAAATAGTGAATTCTGCTATGGCAGCCGAAATACATGACAGAATTATGAAATTCCCAGATCAATACAATACACAAGTACATTTTATTTATTAAACTTATAATCAAGTTTTGTTTTATATCAATCATATGCTTGATAATTTTCTAGGTTGGTGAAAGAGGATTGAAACTAAGTGGAGGAGAAAAACAAAGAGTAGCTATTGCCAGAACGTTACTTAAGGCACCTGCCATTGTATTGCTGGACGAAGCTACAAGTGCATTGGATACTAAAACAGAAAGACAAATTCAAGTGAATACTAACATTTTGTGAATGATATTATGTTTTTGAGTAACTAGGTATTAATAATTTTTAAAACGTTTAAGGCGGCGTTGGATCAAGTCTGTGCTAATCGCACCACAATAATTGTTGCACATAGGCTGTCAACTATTGTGCATGCTGATGAAATACTAGTACTAAAAGATGGTGAAATATATGAGAAAGGAAGGTAAATTAATATGACTACTTTTGGTATTATAATTTGCCATTAACTTTTTTATAGTAAATTAATAACATATCTATTTAAAATGTGTATGTAATGTCTTGTAGGCATGATGATCTCATAATAAGAAATGGCCTGTATGCTGAAATGTGGTCTGAACAACGTAAATCCACTAGTGATATACCCTCTAACGAGGATCCACCAGCACCTTCAGCAACAAATATCAKCGAAACTTCAATAAATACAAAAAGTTACCACCATCCACACGTTTAAAGATTGTGTATGAGATCATTATACTGGTTTAGGGTCATTATGTAAAGGTTTTAGTCTGAGATACATATGGGGTATTCTCTGTTTGGGCTAGTAGCTGGTTTTTACTCATTAGAAAAATATCTTTCAATGTTACTACTTATAAACATATGTTTACTCTTATTATCCCAACTAATATGATCAATTTATGTACCCTGCTTTCAATCCACGTTTAGTTGTATTCCTATAAGTTATGAAATACATTTATTTTTATTTTATTGTTTTAGAATATATATTTTGTATATTGTTTGACTTATCTTAAAAATCATCAACTGAATTTCATATTGTATCAGTCACAATTCAATAAAGTTACCTGTCGTAATCATAATATAGATAATAGAATAATTAATAATTCTTTTATTATCTACGGCCATATGATAGGTATAAATTATAAGGTCAGTAATCTTAGTATCATTAAATATACACATTTCATTAACATAAAGGAATATGATATGTGACCATTATGTAGAATTGACAATACCTACTAAAAGAAACTGAAATACTTATTGTTAAACTTTCAACTTTATAAATATAGAAAGATATAACACTCTCAGAAATATTAATGGTTAAATAGTTAATTATTTGAACAGAAACACTTGTAATCTTGAGCCTTTGACCGCATGAATTGTTGACAAATACAATATGATGCATTATAATGTTATATTATTGGATGTACTTATTGTATTGTATTTGTTGTGTTTAAATTGATTGGACGATCAAATATCAATAGTTTACGATTTATTTGTAGGTATTTAATAAATCTCAATTTATATTATTTTTTGTACATTGATTATATTCAAATGCGATATGCTAATAACCAAGCCTGTATTAACAAAAATTGCCGTCAGGGGAAACATAAAATTTTCCACCTCCCACCACCGAAAAAAAAAAAGATGATATTATTTTACTTTATTGATATTACACAATTGTAGGAGTAAATAATTACATTAAGAGGTCGTAGCTGCATATTATGTTTCCGTCAAGTACGTAACATAGTAATTTTTACACTCAGAAAAACCCGTGTAAGTCTATTAGTTTAAAATTAAGAGTGAATTGCCCTCCTATAAAAATTAAAGGTAACATTGTTATCGAGGGCTTCTCTTAGGCTTTTTATTATATTTTAATTTTAAAGCGAGTTATGARTATTTTAAAATTGTAAATTGTTTGTATATATTAAAATACTCATAACTCGCTTTGAAATATAAATGTAATAAAACGCCAACGAGAAGCCCTCGATAATAATGTTACCTTTAAATTTTGTAGGAGGTCAAATCACTCTAAATTTTAAACTTACTGAACTAAACGAGTTCTGCTGAGTGTAGAAATTGCTGTTACGCACTTGTAAGATGGATACAACACATACGGGTATAACGTCCTCTTAACGTAAATTAAAACTCAGTATAATAAATTAATAATTAATATATGATGTTATTCAAAGCAGTTTTTAAAATGACTAAACAACTTGAAAAATAAAAATATTTAATTAATTTGTAACTTCGTAACTTTACATTTTACATTTTTTACCATTTCAATATTTTGCCACACCTAAACCAAATTTTAATATTGCCCCTCCGAGTCCTCCCTTAATACGTGCCTGCTAATGACTAATAATGAGCATATKGTAATCTTACCCGTTAAAGTAACATAAGTATATTATATTAGTRGCCACCTTAGTCGAACTCGAGGTCCTCGTCCGGACTTCTTGTTGAATGGAGGCTCGTCCCTCAAACCTTACGCGATTAAAAAAAACCAATCTTTGGCTAGAGAGGCAAACTCTTTGGGTTCTCGGGTGGAAAGCATCCCTGACCTTAGGCAGACGTATAACCTATCAAGTATAACCCTTTTAGTTAAAGAATAACACAAGTGTAGTGGCTCTTCCTTTACCTGCRGCTGGCTGCGGTCACGCCAAACTCAAGTGACCTCCACTCCACCTCCCGTCAACAATGCCAAATTAAAGTAACATATCGGTAAGTGTAAATATTTTGGTGGTTCGTTACAACCACAAAACTCAAGGTTCTCCGCGTGACATTAATGTATAGTGTTTTGTGCATATTATGTATAAGTATATAAACTCACAAACGCAAACTTCGGAAGACTAAAACTGCCAAAATAATGGTTTCTACAAATCTTCCGTGATTACCTTACTAAAATACGTAAGATTCAAAACGAAAAAAATGGTGGGTAACTAAAGTTAATTTATGTCAAGTCAGCTTTTTTTTTAAATAAAAATATGATATTCTTTTAATAAATAAATAAATACGTGAGTTAAAATGAAAAACTGTGAGGGCAAAAAAAACTAAAACTTGCTAACATGGGACATTTTTGATGTTACGTGATTGTGATTCTGTGATTGATATTTGAGTTATTGGACAGTAATTATTGTTAATCGTTGTCTACGGAATGTATGATATTTTAAATATTCAACGTATTGTTTTGGCGGCAAAATGGCGACCAAGGAGAATAGACACAGTGTGGTCGAAATCGACGAGTTTTTTCTCGAATAATTAATAATTATTGCCACCTGCCGAGCACCGCTGATAAGAATCGAGAATCATGATTTACGAAATAGCTGTCCAAAGGATTATCCGGCAATCCATTTTCTGCAGAAAAATCAGTCCACTTTGTAAGTCGTCTACGATTCGCCAGACAGTAAACAAGAAATATAGCAAAATGACTTACCAAATCGAAGAAAGAGGTTCGCCGAACACCATTGACTATAAGTTGTACATAAGTAAGTCGACTTTGAAATTATGTAAGGTAAAATGCTTGTACAAATCTAAAATTTCCCATCAATATTTTATGTTTGTTATTTCACCTATGCCTTATTAGTTGTTAACCACATTTGTGCGTTATTAGTTGTAGTCAAGCACTCAAGGTCATTTTTTATGATGACCTCTGCCCTTTCCGGCCATTTGGTATTTATGAAAGATTTCCACCTGAAAGTCAAATTATTGTACTATAATGAATTTATAAAAATCTCGTGTGCACATTTTAATAAAATATATTTTTATATTATTAATAATTATATACCAGAGAGTATGTTACTTACCAAAGAATTTGTTGATAATACATATTATTAAATATATGTACCTACCTACTTCCTATTTAAATCAGTTTGAATTCCTAAAAAACTCACTAAGAAAATAAATTATTTTATGTTATTAATATTCTTAGATTATGAAAAAGCAATGAAAAACTAATTGGTACCTATAACTTCCTTCATACTCAAACAGTTCTAAACCATTAAAAATAATGGACTATTCAACTGTTATCAAMACAATCTAATTCATTATGGTTGTAAAAAAAAAAGTAATGACATTCTTAATATATTTTTAAAACATACCGCATAACAACAAATTTAGGGTTCTTAATTGCGCAATGTTTAAATGGTTATTGTTCAATTATATTATAAAACATATAGTTATAAGTTTTCCCTTCATATTGGAAGTATTAAATATTCATAACTTCATAAGTTTAATTTTTATTACAGAAAATGAAAATGGAATAGTATCACCATTCCATGATATTCCATTGCTGGCTGATAATACTGGCAAAGTATTCAATATGGTGGTTGAAATACCGAGATGGACAAATGCAAAAATGGAGGTTAGATTTTCAATCATGTTTAGACATTTGTTTACAAAGTCAATGTATTATTTTTAGATCAACACAAAATCTCCCCTCAACCCTATCATTCAAGATACAAAAAAAGGRAAATTACGTTTTGTACCAAATGTGTTCCCACACAAAGGCTACATATGGAACTATGGTGCCTTGCCTCAAACTTGGGAAAATCCTGAATTATTAGACGAACATACAGGGTGCAAGGGAGATAATGATCCTTTAGATGTACTTGAAATTGGATACAAAGTATGCTACAGACTTGATTCTTAAACATTTCTTAATCATGTTTAAAATGTTTATTTATTTATTAGGTAGCTAAACGAGGAGAAGTGCTTAAAGTAAAGGTATTGGGAACTGTTGCATTGATTGATGAGGGCAAGTATTGTACTTATGTTACACATTCAAACAACTATTCTGTATTCATATTCAATGAATATTATAGAAATTATTTATAGATTATGGTCCTGTAATTTGTATATGTAATTATAATTTGATAACGAATAACTATAAATACCAGAAAATAATCTTTTATTAAATTGTACATACATTTCTAATAGAATATCATCTTCAAAGCATTTTTTTTTGGAAGATCAACTTTTTACATATTAARTTATTTAAGCATATCAATGATAACAATTGTCAAAAATTTATTTTGTCTTAAAATTATTATTCTTGTATTATCGCTAAGTGTTACAGTGCTTATTTCATCTTAATATTTGCTATTAATCATTACTTATTACTCATAGATATTCAATAATAATACTATTAAAATAAGATGCTTATATATGTTTAATTATTGCTAATATTAATGATTCTTTATAAACTTAATTAAGAATATATGATATAATGATAAATATAATTAACTTTCAGGCGAAACAGATTGGAAGGTGTTAGTGATAAATGTAGACGATCCAATTGCACCTGAAGTTAACGGTAACTATACTAATATAGTTTTAATTTAGTATCTTATCTCAGGGCTGACAGTATAAATAAATATTATTTTRAAAATAAGTATTACATTTTCATATGTTGAAAATATTGTTCTAAATTCACTGAAAGTACTGTATAACCTGTAATACCATTATTAAAATATTTCTGGTGCTGGTATCTAAATTTGATATACCATCAGTCCTAACTTATCCCTTTTTAATTTTCATTGTTTGTATGATATAATTCTACTATTATGCTAATTTTTATATGATTTTATTTCTAGAMATTAAAGACATCGAAAAACATTTTCCTGGGTTACTAAAAGCAACTGTTGAATGGTTAAAAATCTACAAAATTCCAGATGGTAAACCTGAGAACAAATTTGCTTTTAATGGTGAACCCAAAGATGCCGAATTTGCCTTGAAAATAGTCAGTGATACTCATGAATATTGGAAAGCTCTAGTACAAAAAGAAAACACTGATGGCTTGTCCTGGTAATGAAATGTTTGATACTAACAATATTTTTAATGGTTTATTTTCATTACTGTTGTTGACTATAATTATTGATTTTAGTGTGAACACAACATTGAATAATGCTTCTACTATCGATAATGAAAAAGTTCAAGCCATATTATCGGAGAGTTTGCCACTATCCGAGCCTAGTCCATTATTACCTGAAGGTAAATTAATTTATTAAATTTTAATAATTTAAAAATCAAGTTCATATTATTGTAAACACCCATTAATTTGGGGAAGATAGTGTCATGGGTCTGTGCGGTTAGATAGCTTAGTGGTAGGCATTAGTCTTAACAATTTAAATACATTTTTGGGGGTTACTCAAATTGTATATTCTAGATGACTATGTTTTTGTAGGTCATATTCTAATCTGATTTCATATTTTTATATTGTACCTAATAATTATTCTATAGAATTATATCTTGATTTTATTAGAAAATAAATACATTTGACTTGAAATTTGTTTTCAGTCGTTTTACTTATACATTTTTTTTTTAATTAGCCCGCGGCAACTAAGGCCATTGGGAAGGGGGTAGTACTGTAGGTTCTTATGGAACTGTAGGTTGGTCTTACACGTGGGTGAGAGTTTTGGCAGAATTTCTATTGGGGCACCCRTAGGTTTCTGCCATACCCCGGAGTAGAGGATGACGGCACTTGTTCTCTGGACACCGTGACTTGCCTGGAGAAAAATACCGCCCGATGGTCTAGGATTGAACCCGGTCCGGCTGAGCCACAGCTGACGCGGTAGACCACTAGGCCACCTCGTCCCCCACTTTTTTATATAGCCTTCATTGACTGTTAATTAAAAATATACATTCAATTCCTTAATAAATATTCATTACTTATTAATTTTCATAAATGTTAGGTTTTTGTGTATAAGAATAATACTTAATTAATATTGTTTAATATCTTAATGGTTTTTACAGTTGATAATGTATGGTTCTGCATTAGATCCAATGGCATGGCCTTTAAATTGTAGTTTTGCAGCTCGATGATATTATTTTACTTAGTTTGACATGTATGTTACTATTTMTGTTGCAGTTGATAAATGGCATTTTGTAAAATTATAAAGTGATTASTATTCATGARATCGATTATTTGGTGAAGTTAGAAAGTGGGATCAAAATAAATCATTTTTTGGAAAATATCCTAACTAATGTTGCAACATCTAAATTATGTAATAAAATATATTTATATATTTGTTTATTTTTGTTAATGTAAAACACAAACTTTGTAACCTCATAATAAACTTAATGTTTTTAAATATGTATTTCAATAAATTGTAATGGGCTTTTGTTCAAATTATAATTACTATTGTACCTATTTATTTCTTAATTCATTTACCTGAGATTAATCTCTATATTCCGGCCCATGAGAGAATATTACTATGTACCTCAACCAAAACGCATTGAATCCGGCACATCTCGTTCAATGACAAAGGTTTGATAATTTTCGTCAAAATGTGATGCTATAATATGAATTTATATAACCTATACCATTGCGGCACAAAGTGGAGTAAATCGGAACAGTCGCGTCATCTTCATGTGCAAAATGGCAATGATTTTTGTGGGCTGGAGCCTAGTAAAGTATTAATTATCTAGCAGGTGGTAATTGAACAATTTTAAATATAAATGTGGTTGTAGCCATAGGCGTGCGCAGACTTCAATTTCCGGTCGAACCAAGCCAACAATTAATGCCCCAATACTTGRACAGTGCCCCTATATWTTTTTTTTTTAAATACATTAATTTATACTATAATTGTAAATTAAAAACTGAGTAAATAAAATAAAGTTGTGCAAAAACTCAACATTAATAATCTAATTTCTAGACATATATTTTTAAAAATAAAATATTATGAAGAAAAAGAAGAAAACACAATACCTAAAAAACTCGGTTTAATGAACAAAAAATTGTATATACATAATATTAGATTACATATATTGTATATATTACATATTACACTCAATATTTAAAGAATTATAAATGAATTCTCCTATTTCCAATACTTTTGAAWTCATCAATGACCATGTCAATATTAATACTAGATGTTAGTTTTTGTTCAGTAAACATTAATAATAAACTATTAAGTCGGTCTTGAGGCAGCCTTATTCCTGGCAGGAACTCCTCCGGGTGATCTTCTTGCGTTGGAACGCAAAAGAGTCCGAAGTAAACTTGACGACCCGGACAGAGCTGACTCAAAGGATGAGATCCGGAGAGCAGAGCGTGATATCCTGCTTGCTGCCTGGTCGAACAGATGGAGTCGGGGCATT